CAACAACCGCCTCCGCCTCCTCACTGCCTACCCAGCGAGGCATTCCAAACGCCGATCTGTCGCCATCTCGACTCGCAACAACCGCCTCCGCCTCCTCACTGCCTACCCAGCGAGGCATTCCAAACGCCGATCTGTCGCCATCTCGACTCGGACGGGCCGTCAGACTGCCCTGTCATTGATCTTCGTGAATACTTCCGGGGCAGACTCTCTCTTCAGGACTGCTCGCAAGTACTCCACAAACCACGGATGGGGATCAGGGGCAATCACGTTCGACATGCTTCTTGAAAGAACGTTTGTTGCTCCGTCCACTCCAAGTGTAACCGACGGCGCCTTGATCAATGCCGCGGCCATCTGCTCCATACTCAAACGGTAGCATTCACCAAGCAGTGTCGTCGACAACATAGACGAACTCGGAGGAGACCGTTGATTGTTGAGAATATCAAAAAAGCTTTGCTGTGCTGGGTGCTCGAACGTGCTGAAGCCTGCCCCAGTTTTGTGCACTGCTGCAAACTTCAGGTCCAGCGCCTCACGCTCTTTTCGGCTAAGTCTCGGATAGACCTTAGCGTTCAATTGAGTAATAAGGGTCTGTGTCCCGGAAGCACGACGTTCCTCCTCTTCAAACTCGAGTGTCTCGTCGATCATTAGTCGCCCAAGTGGAGAATGAACAGCGTCGCAGTTGCTGAGGTGTGTCCTCATGTTCTTCGTTGCCGCCGATGTGCTTTTTTTTTGCAGTAGTGGCATCGCACTCTAAAAGTCTTGTATCTACCCTTTGAGTATTTCTCAAAGAAATTCCAAACGCCTTCTTGCTGTTGAGTCATCCTTGGCAAATCGATAATTGCTCTTGCCTTCTACTACTCTTGAAAGAGCCAACTTGCTAGAGCACGCTTCAAACCAACCATATCGTCCCCTGAGATACGACGAACGCTGCTGCCGCGATCGCTTAACCATCCAAATCTGATAATAAACGTGTTTAAACTTTTTTTTAACGTTTGATTCGATTCAATTCCTCAGACCCTGAAAAATACCTTTCGATAGCCAATAGAGCTCTCAAACACTTGATTGCGAGCCAGTCGGCAGTTTTTGGTCGTGCCAGTTTTTGCTGCATATCCTTAAATTCACTCCGTCCTGTAGATGAGCGCAAATAAACGAAAAATGGTTTGAGCGTGTGCTCTAATTCAATAAATCGTTGCAGAATATCCCAGCAGCTATTCCAGCTCGTCGGACAGTCGACTTTAAAAGTCTGGACGTTTGGAGGAGCAATATGCAAGTCGCTTTTTGTTGGATATTTTCAAAGCACGACCGATCCTTTGGAGATCTGCGGAAGCACACGGCTACCAAGCGAAATTTGTGCACAATTCCACGCATCGTTGCCATTTCATCCATATCTAAGCGAGCAAGCACCTGATTCAAACATGTATCCATTTCGTCAACGGCAGTGTCCCGTAGGGCCTCCATTTGTGCTTGATTATCCTCTGTCAACTCTGCATCTTCTTCATTGATGATCGTAGTTGTGTCGGGTTCATCTGCGACAATCGACTCCACAGTGGTGTTTGTTCCCTTTTTTCTTCTTTTATGACGGGAGTCCCGAGACGATGGGATGCAGGTCGTGTGCGATGCACGCACAGTGGTTAGTCTCCACTATTTTGCCAGTAGAAACTATATTTAAACCAGAATCGCGGACAAACCGGCAGCAGAACTCCTTCACAACTCCCCATTCTGCCATGATCGTATCGAGCGCTGCTGCGATAGCACTACCGTTGTTCTTCCCAGGAATCTCCTTAACGTCTAGCTGTTCAGCTGAAAGTTGTCATTCACGTAGTGAATGGTTAATGAAATGTATGAACGTGCGTTTCTTGTCGTCCAAATATCGCTTGTAATTGAGTACATTACATGACCGTGCAATATTCTCTTTTACGTAGACTCAAAATTCTTGGGCGAGGCAGATGATATCACCTCGTAACTGGGTACGACGAGGTAGGTGTAGCTTATTTCCACAAACCGTTTCGGCAATGAAAATAACAAAGACAATAAAGCCTTCGTCGTCAATCATTATAAGAGATCTGAAGTGCACTGCAATCCACCGCGCCAATAGGACATACACTTGCTTTTGATGTTCACCGCTAATTTGTGCAGTAGGCGCTTTTTTCGATTACAGCATCATCTCCAAAATCGGGATCTAGTGCTCGAGCTACTTCACGTTCCGCGTCATCGTCATCTTTACCGTAGGTTCTTTAAGGTGGAACTTTTTCATATGCTGTTCTACTTCACTTTTTCTTTCGAAAATCGAATAGCTCGCTTACATTTTGTACAGTATGCATAAGCAGCGATCGAGGTGCCAATACTGTGGATATGGTACTAGCATCGTGAACTGCCAAGGCGCGGGTTTTCGAATCCGACCCATCGGATACGTACTTCAGGCATCATTGCGTCGTAAACGGGAGAGTGCCAAGCAGGCTGGGACTTGTCGGAGCTGTGGGAATTACTTGTAGCGTCTTGAATGCCTCGCTTAAGCGGAGCTCTGTCGGAAAGTGACACACCTTGTGCTTGTGTCTCGCACTCTGGTATCGGATCCTGGCGATGTGCTTACCCAGCTTGCTCAATCGGTTTGTCAGCTTCAACCCGTGGTTCGCAACGACGACTGGCCTGGAAGCGCTTTGCATGGGGTTGCATAATTTTGGTCATGGGGCTCACCAATTGATGAAAAAGGGCTTTTTTGCAAAGTGTAAAAGTTAATGGGGTTAAGAAGTTACTGAGTAACCTAATACAGCTATCTGTGAGGTTACGGTACATGAGATTAAGGTAAGGCAAGGGCAACTAAAGTTGACAGCACCACTATCAAGTGCTTTACTACTACTGTCACGTGCGTCCATCAATTACAGACTCGTGACTCACGAGTTATTATGTGCAAAATAATGGCTTCAAAATGCCAAACGCAATACCATCACGTGTCGTGGTGTTAGCGTTTATTTCTACCCTTCAGTGTGCAATTGATTATAATAACTCGCGTCGTTTCGAGCGTCAGATTTCTGTCCTGAACTACATAAATTTCGTAAAAATGGCTTTCTTACTGGCCTGTGCAACGCGCGGTTCGCTAAGGGATCGACGCTGCGTCCGTCAATGCAAACACCGCGCGGATTTGTTTTTGCTGCGCGTGCGAGCGCGTTACTCGCCTTTCGCTGGCCATAATAAAATAAACTCAATAAATACAATATTTTACAATATTTGAACCGTTTAGGACATTAATCCCATATGAAGCACTAGTCACACGCACTAAAGGTAAATAAACTGCCAATTGGTAGCCATCCAATCTGACCAACGAGGTAATTTTATTTCTCCTTAACAAATTATGATTGGCCAGCTATTTTAAATATCATATAAGAGACAGGTTGAGATTCAGCTTAGTGAAATCAAGTAGAATAATATGGAAGCATTTCATACGTCTTTACTTCTATTAGATTGAAATTATACTATGGTCCTGTAAATCGTCAGCTTTCAGCGGTACTAGCGAGGCCTTATAATTTTTGGTAGAAGGCGAAAACTTGTTGTGGTGCCCCTAATTGGCGGGTTGCCTAACAGTAAACAAAACGCAACTTTGCCATTTCGCAGTCCTCCCAGCTTACAGCGAAGCACCCTATAATACAGTCTGAGTGGCGACTTTTCATCCAACAGTCTCCGATATCCGTAACGTGAACCTTAAATCCTCCCGTCCATCATGAGTGAGCTGCAGCTCATCGTCGAGAACCTCAACAAAGAACCATTCCGTCTGGGCCTGACGCTCGTGGCTTTCGATGAAAAGAGCAACTTTGAGTTGCTGCAGATTCTGCACGAGGTCTTCGTGGAGATCGATCCGACGCGTCACTCTGGAGTGGATCTTCGTGCGGAGGCAGATGAGGTGCGAGCTCAACGCTATTTGGAGTTCTTGCAGCTACTCAAGTTCCAACTTCCTCGAGACCTCGACGGGTTCCGAGAAGCTCTGGCCCATGGAGATCGACAGACCATCTACACACTGCTGCACTGGGCACTCAAGAGTCTGCCTGCACACCAGAAACGAGCGTATCTCGGTCGCTTCCTGGCTCCTCTCAATGTGCCTCAAGAGTATTTCGGAGATGGCTGTAGGTTAAACCTTGATACTACTAAGTTTTACGGTTCTTCTAGGATCTAACATGTCTGCATTTTCAGCGTTAAATGCCATGTACGAGCACTACCAGCAGCTACAGAATCAGTTTAAAACTGTACACAAAGAGGTGGATCAACTACGAGCTTCCAAGTCTCGTCCTGGTGAGCTACGGCGTGAGATCTCCCAATTGGAAGAGGAGTCTCATCAACTCACTGAGAAGATCGCTAACTTGAAAAAGAAGACAACCTCAGACCCAGGATTTCAGGAATTATTAGCTGCTACGAGCGCACTGCGCAAAGAGCAGGAAGAACAGGCCAAACTAGCAGAACGAAAGCGAGACCAGTTACTGTCACTGTCACTAGCGGAGAAACGCGCACGAGAAGCTGAAGCGCGACTGCAAGACCTTCGAACTTCACTGTCGCAGGACGCTACACCAGAGCAGCTTTTTGAGCGTCTACAGGCCCAAGTGGCTCGCAACAGTGAGATCCTCACGACCAAGTTCCCAGCAGAGTTTCGAACCCAACAAGAGACTTTACAGCGTCTCGAACGGGCCCTCAGTGAGCCTCCTAAGACAGAACACGATATCGCTGACATGGAGGACGAAGTACAGGCACTTAGACGTGCCATTCAACAGTACCAGACTCAGATTGCCGACGCCCAGGTGGCTCAAGGTAGCGGAGAAGAAGACAAGCTCGCAGTCTTCCGCCAACACGCTAACCTTCAAGCTCGTAAGTTGGCCGAGAAAGAAGAGGAACTGGAGCAGCTACGAGCCGATAAGCAACGTCTTGTACGTAGCACGGAAGAATTGGAGGCCAAGTTGGCGTCAATCTCCGGGAATAAGTTTATGAGTCGTGAAGAGTTCAAACAGTACGCTACAACTTTACGCAACAAGACCAACCAGTACAAGAAGGTCAAAGCGGAACTGGCGGAACTCACAGCCGAGAGTGTGGTGCTGCATCGCACAGAGCAGCTACTTAAGAGTAAAGACGCCGATTTAGAGGGGTTCCTACGCGATCTAGAACGCCAGAAAGGCGTCAGTGGGTTCCTGGCAACGCAAGATAAGATCGACGATGTCTCGGTGCAAAATGCGCGAGTGAATGCTCTTAAAGGCGAGACGCTCGAAGAGATCTCGCGTGTGGTTACCGACATCAACCAAGCGCTTAAAGAGCGTAAGAACCAATTGGCTCCACAGATTAAGGAGCTGCGTACAGTTCGTCAACGTTACCAGGAGATGGAGCAGGTTTATCTGGAGCGCAAAGCTCAATACGATCACACAGCTGTTGGCCTTGAGGCTGAGCGCCTGAAGCTTGAACAGGAGTGTGCTGCCTTCCAGGAGGACGCACTACGCGAGGAGTCTCAGTTCCATCTACTGCATTGTCAGCTACAGCTACAACAGGGCAAAGCTGACAAAATTGCGCAAGAAATTGAGTTCGAACAGGGCACCTCGAACGCTCGTCTGCTTCGAGACATCCGCTCGTTTCAAGAACTTTACAAGCACAAAGTGGCGCAACAGGAATCGCTCACCAAGGAGCTTCGTAAGCAACAGAAAACGCTCAAAACTTCTGCGCCTGCTAAGAAGCAGCAACGAGAAATGTTTGAAGGGTTATTGCAGCTTCTCGCGTGCAAATCTCGTCTCGCTCAGCAAGAAAACCAAGGAAACGCTAATGCAAACCGAAGCGGAGGCGGAGCGGGACAGGATCTCTTCGACGGACGCACGGACATCGCGCACTATGACGTCGGAGGAGCTAACGTTATGACCCTGGAAGCGTAACGGGAGGAATCAGATTCATTTTCTTGCATAATATATTTTATTTTGTGTTATTCGTCGAAATTGTTGCTTTTTCTTTAACTAGTGAACCCCAAGCTCTCGAGCTCGCGTTCCAGCTCGGCCTTCTGCTTCTCAAAGCGTCGAGCGAGTTCCTCGCGATCGCGTTCATAGTCTTCCTCAAGTTGACGTAGTTTCTGCTGCACTGTGCGCAGTGAAGCCTCTGTAGCTCCAGCAGCACGAATTGTACCCGACTTGGAAGAGGAAGACGTAATTCGTCGGAAATATTTCATGAAAGACGGCTCGTTGCTTTCTGCTTCGGGCTTCGTCGTTTCTCCTTGGCTGCTCTCGCGACTACTGCGACTGCTAGTTCTCGAGTTCGAGACAGGAGCCACAGGAGCTGGAGGTGGACGCACAGTTCCTGAGGCAGAAATGGGGATCATTGTACCGTACAGATCACTGGACGTGATCTCGCGCTCACGAGTTTCCGAGCTTGTGCTCTCCATTGTAGAGTTAGTTGACTTGTTATCGTCACCTCGATACACCATCGTACCACACCCGTCTTCACCCCCTGCATTAGAGAACACTGTGGTCCCTCCAAAGCCATTCAGTCGCATAGATGAAAAGCCTACAGCCGTGTCGGAGCCCCCAAAGCCACCGAATCCTCCCGTGCCGTTAAGGAGGGATCCGTTGCGTAGCATAGTACTGAGATCTGCAACCGACAGCGAACCATCAGGACGACCAGTAGCAGCGTCACGGAACTCCGCTTCATCCTCTGCGCCCCGTAGTCGAGCTTCATGCACCAGCTCCAAGCTCTGTTCTACCAGCTCCTGAAGAACCGGCAGCCCTGCCATCCTCCCTCCATTACCAGCACGACCCGAATTCGCACGTAGTCGCTCTACGCTACGAGCGATGAACGGATGACGCAGCAATTCGTCCGCTGACGCTCGTTCCTGCGGGTCTTTCTTTAAACACACAGCGATAAAGTCTCGGAATTCAGTCGAGTATTTGTTAGGCTCACGAAGCTCGGGCGGTGCTCGGTTAGGGATCAAAAAGATGGCACGCATCGGATGCATATGCGCGAGTGGAGGCTCACCTTCAGCCAATTCTAGTGCAGTAATACCCAGTGACCAGAGGTCTACCTTACAATCGTAATGAGCTTCTTGAATCACCTCTGGTGCCATCCAGAAGGGCGTTCCGATGACTGTACGGCGCTTACCAACAGTGGCTGTGAGCTGTGCGGACACACCGAAGTCCGCCAACTTGGCTACACCGTCGCCGTTAAGTAGCAAGTTACCAGCTTTAATGTCTCGATGGATGAGACCTTGAGAGTGTAAGTGAGCGAGTCCTAGCGCTACATTAGCACAGACGGCAGCAATCTCCGGTTCGCTCAACACGCGACGTCCACGCAGCACATGCAGGTCAGCGAGCGAACCAGCGGCGCAGAATTCCATGGCAATCCAGAGCTGAGACTCGTACGAGAAGCTGCCACGGTAGTGTACTACAAAAGGAGACTCGCATCGTTCTAAAATGCGGATCTCACGTGTCAATTCGTCAAATGCAGCGCGGTCTTCACTCTCCACAGGCACCACCTTGAGCGCCACAACCTCGGCATTCGACTTGTTCACAGCTTTATACACTTTGCCGTAGGATCTACAGGATCACAAAAGGCATGAGTAAAATAAGTTATTGAAGGTAACGATGACAGTGCACTCACTCACCCTTCTCCAATGCGTTCCAGCACTTCATAGACTCCTTCGGGGTTCTCGTTCCGCTGGATGCTCGCCATCCTGCTGACAAACTCGCAGAATTAGCAATGGACTGTGCAACAAAAGCTCGCGCTTGTCGCCGTAATTAGCCGTCGGCTGAACTCCAAACACTACAAGAATAAACAGTAACAACTTCAACGACATATTATAAGGCCCACATGACACATAAGCGGCCAGCTATTTCAAGCTGGACAACGGACACACAAGAACACTAGGAGACAACGTCGTACGTCCTTGTTATCGCCCAGGACGCCGAGAAAACTACGTCCTTCTTATGAGAATGAGCTGATTGGATCTAGCGCTCTACTTACAGGACCATGAGCTCCGGGTTCTCCATGTAAGCCTTGAACGCCTGCAGGAACTGGCCAGCGATGACGCCGTCCACCACGCGACGGTCCGACGACAGCGTCACGTTCATGAGCGTAGCGATCCGCGGCTCCGGGTTCACGCCCTCCACGATCTCAAGAGGCGGCAGAACCTCCTTACGACCGCCACCCACAGCCAGAATACAGGCCTGGGGCGGGTTGATCACAGCGCGGAACTGGTCGATACCGAAGCTACCGAGGTTCGACACAGTGAAGGAGCCGCCCTGGAACTCCTCAGGCTTGAGTTTGTTCTGACGCGCGCGCGTCACGAGCTCCATAAATATGCTGTTGACGCCGCTGAGACCCAGAGTATCAACCTTTGGCACAATGGGCGTGATGAGACCCGTGGCGGTGGCTACAGCCACCGAAACGTCCACGGACGCATTGGGCTGCACCCTCTGCGTCTTAACGTCGAAGAAGCAGTTGGCCTCGGGCACGTCACGCAGCGCTAGAGCCACAGCCTTGAGGATGAAGTCGTTCATACCGACCTTGACGTCGTGTTTGGTCTTAAGTTGCTTGCGGAACTTAAGGATGCTGTCGATCTCGCAGTCGATGCTCGTGTAGCTGTGCGGCACTTCCTGCTTGGAGGCGGCCAGGCGCTTAGCGATGATCTTGCGCATGTTAGACAGCGGCAAGTCCTCGTACTCAGCGTCAGCAGCAACAGTGGACGTGGCCACAGGCTGCGCAGCCGGAGCGGCACTCGCGGGCTTCGCAGGCTCCTCGAGAGGCGAGTGGTTGAACTCAGGAAGCAGCGAGCGCTTGCCCAAGAACTTAATGAGCGGCACGCGGCCGCTGTGGTTTGACTCCGCGGCGGGTGTAGAAGCAGGAGTAGGCTCAGGCTTAGACTCGGCCACAGGCTCAGAGGCGGAAGGAGCTTCAGCCGAGAGGTTGGCGAGTGCGCCGCTGTCCAGTAGCTGCTTGTACGTGTCCATGTCTTCCACAGTGTACGCGAGCAGCGCGCCAATGGGAAGGTCGGCTGAGCCCTCGGGGCAGATGATCTTTGCCACCACAGCGTCGTCCTGCATCTCGTAGTCTACGACGGCCTTGTCCGTCTCCACTTGGCACAAAACTTCGCCGGCGCTCACTTCCTCGCCCTCTTTCTTAAGCCACGAGGACAGAGATCCCGTCTCCATGGTGGGCGACAGCGACGGCATCGTCAGAGGGGATACGCCCTCGGGAAGAGACGAGAAGGCGCGGCGCAGCAGAGGCGCCACGCGACGCTCGGCCGACAGCAGCGAGCGGCTCAGACGCAACATGTTGATCGGTTCGTGGCTTGACCAAAATGTAGGAGTGAGGGGCCAACCAAGCACCAAACGAGTGGCCAATCCTACATCGTTTTCCAGGTTAGTATGGATGTTTGTATTAGGATGAATCGACATAGACAAACGCAGTGCAGTGTCTTGATGGGTGTGATGCACAGAAGATGTGACGTGCTACAGCTCACGAGCGTTAAGCGTTCATATCCGCTCCAAGGCCTAGCAAGAACGCGGCAAGGTGAACATGACCGTTAAAGCAGACGAGTTGCAGAGGAACGCTTGAGTGCATCGTTCCGATCATTAACGTTCCAACCAAAGTCGATCAGTACCAGTTCAACTGGTACTGGTCCAGTTGCAATACGTTCAGGTATCCGGCATGATGCACACGAGTTGCAGAGGAAGTTACGAAAAACAAATTATTAAGCATCTAACGTTCTCGCTACACGTATCGGGCCTTTGCATCGATCCATGTCAACGTCTTGGTCCGATCGTGAGAAGTCGGTGCGTTGTTCATCTTTCTCGCTTGCAATTAGAAAGTGTTCAACGAGTTGATCACATCGAACCGCAACAAACTCGTAACTTGACGAGCTGCGCTGCGTCTCGTTCTTCTTCTTGCCGGGCTTTGAATTCACAGTCTCATACTCCTGCACTAGGTTTTTTTTGCCTTGCAACCAGCCTGAACGGCGGTTGATCAGTCGACAGCAATTGCACTATTTTTTTTTATTCTAAGAAAAATAGGTGCCTGTCACAAAAAATAGTTTTCTAAGAAGTAAATGCCAATCGCTTAAAATAGTTTTTTTCTTCTTTAAAAAATCCAGATTTGCATTCCGATTGGCTCAGAGGCAAATAGAGTACGTGACATGGCTAGTGCCACCGGAATGTTCCAGATTTAGTTCTAAATCTAGATCTAGAACATATTTGTTTCGGCTCAAATTTTGGTTGTGCCTTAAAGAAAACCGAGGTTGTTCGCCTCATTTTTCCTCCTATCGATCAGGGTACCGGTATCAGTCGTAGTGAGCCTACAAGATAGTTTAGTGCTGACACAAAAGTGTTTTAATTGCAAGAGTGAAAGTCTCGGTCGAGCGAGAGATTACCCAATTCGCAGTTGACACAAGTCGCCAAACAAAATGAAGTCATCCGACACGAAAATAACAACAACGGAATTATATTTTCAATGGCATGGTGCTGCAAAAATACTGATAGTAGTGCGTGTGCCTAACAGCCAGATAAAAGTGAATACAGAAAAACAACGAGGCGTTTGTGTTGGGTATTAGGCCAAGTAGTACTGCAGCAAAAATTATTACGAGCATCAGTTTGTATATCGTAAGTATATAGTGCATTATATAATGGTTCAAAATTGTTTAACCGAAGCTACGCGTTTTGTAAAATTTGCAGTATTTTTGCACTCATTCCAGCTTTTATTTCCTGTCAATAGACCAATCCGTTTCTGATTTCATGGTTTGACGATCAGTACGACTCCATTGTATTTTTTCCGGAATCCCTGTATTACACACACTTACTTCTTTTGATGGTTAACGAAACGCAAAGCAAACAACGCGAGCAAGCGATACACCACGATGAACCCTAATACGAAGCCGAAGTTTTTCCAGATCTCACTGTGCTTCATTGCGAAAACGTCCCCAATATAGCCTTTCACTGTCATATTCTCGGGGAGGGAGGGTGGCAACCCAGTCATGACGTGGCACCCAATCTCCGATCCATCGCCGTCACTTGGGCAGTCACCAAAGGCCAGTGATGCGACCAAAGCCAACGAGTACTTGTGCGGCGTAATGTGGAATAACCACTTGTAACCTCGAGGGATTGAGCCCCCAGGAGGGTTGAAGCCAATAAACAGGAAGAAGATCATTTGAATCAGCGTACCAAAAATCGTAGCGACTTCGACAGTTGGCGCAAGGTACGACATAAGTTGCCCGAAATACGCATGCCACAGCACGTGCAGGGAGAGGTGAAACCAATATGTGAAGAATGTAGTCGCTCCTGTGAACCCGGCCATTGGATAATACGGCGCCAAAAGCAACATCGTGCTGAAGAAGACGTACGGGATCTCCACCACCGTCGAACCCACGAAGTACCAGAGCGCATTGTACGTCTGAGCAGCTCGCTCGCGGTAGAACACTAGACGATCCTGCGATGTCATCGGCATCACGCTGCTGAAAGTGATGAAGCCAAAGAACCCAGTCGTGCAGTACAGCATGCCCATACCCGAGTTGATACCGGCGTACGACGTGTACTCTGCATCAACGTATGTATCAGACCGAGCGTAAGTGCCAGGAAGAAGCGAGTCAAGTTGTATGATGCAGTGCGCCAGTACATATTGAAGAAGCGCTGAATCAGGAACTTGGCTTGAGTCAGCTCCGACGCAGCGCGCTTCTCACTGAACTCCAAAGCGGACATCAACGGCGACGGACGTGATATGCCTTCACGGTCTAGGTTTGCCTGGAGAAGCTCGAAATGCTTGCTCGACTGGAAGATTTCCACGAAGTCGGTCGTGTCACCGTTCGTGTTGCCCACACCGGCACCGATCACCTCCAACATCCACGTCGCCGGGTTGTAGTTGTCCTCCAACTTCGCCACCCCATCGATCGATTCAAAGTACGCGATCATGTCACTCGCGTTCTGGCCGAGTTCGCCGGCAAACACCGTCTCACCACCACGTTTCAGCAGCAACAGACTGTCGAATAAGCTAAACACCTCTGTCGACGGCTGGTGGATCGTACACAGCACCGTCCGGCCCGTGTTAGCCACCTTGCGCACACCATCCATGATGAGCTTGGCAGAACGTGCATCCAGACTGCTCGTCGGTTCATCCAAGAACAAGACACTCGGTTGCGCCGCCAGCTCCACGCCAATGGTCAAGCGCTTCATCTGTTCCACGGAGCTGCCGCGGATGATCTGGTCGGCGATCGCGTGCAGGTCCAACAAGTCCAAACACTCGCTGACAGAGTCAAACTTGAAGCTGTCGGGAACGTTGGCTCCTTGACGCAGGAACGCACTGAACGTGAGAGCTTCGCGGAAAGTAGACGACTCGGAGTGGATGTCCATCTGCTCGCAGTAGCCTGTGGATCGACGGATGGCAAGGTCAGTAGCTTGGTGTCCATTGAGCAGAATCTGACCGGTGATCTTGCCATCAGTCTTGCGTCCGGCGATGACGTCCATGAGTGTGGTCTTGCCGGCCCCTGAGGATCCCATTAGCGCCGTAATGGTACCGGGTAGAGCGTACCCGCTGATACCCTTAAGCAAGTTGATGGATTCCTTTGGGTTGGCTGGGTCGGACACAGTGTACCAGAGATCTTTGAACGCGACCGTGACCGGCACAAAATGCTTCTCCCTCACAGGAAGTAGAGACACCACTTTTTCATCATCAGTGGGTGACCCACGAGGCGTATGAATTAGACTGTAGCCATCCGAAGCTCCGTCCTTATCTTCCGAGTCGAGCGTGATATTCTCGTAGCTCTCAAAGCGATGATACTCCAGCGAAATGTACGACAGGAACATGAAGAAGACGTACGCTGCCGCCGTGAAGACCATGCCGTACCACAACCAGAACTTCTCGGTCGGCACTTCAAACGTTCTTAAAGAATACTCCCCCATAGTCATATTGTAGTTGGCGCAGTAGTCGACGTTCTTGAACACACACGTGTCGAACCTAGCATCGGTGTACTGATTCACGGCAAGCGCTCGAACTCCCCAGGCCATGGGGTTAATCCAATAGATCCAGATGAGGTAGTCTGGAATTTGGTCCTTGGTAATGACGAAGCCGGCGAACACGACGAAGAAGAGAATGGAAACCACCGACACTGGGTAGGCCACATTCAGGTTCGGTGAAGCGCACGATAAGAAGAAAAACCACGAGGTCATGGCCAAATTCGTCAGGAACATGGTCAACTCGAAGAAGAGAAAGGCTTCAACCGTTGGCACATAGCCACACATCCAGTAGACGATGGAGCCAAAGATCAAGCTCTCCGCAAGACCCAATGGTATCTGACTCACCGAGTTGGAGAGCACAAAAGACGCGGTACGGAAGAAATTGGCTCGACGCTGTTTGTAAAACACCTCGCGAGCCGCCATGAAGATTGGGATTTGCGCCTGTTGTCCAAGCGATACGAACATAACAGCGTTGACGATTATACCCATCATTAGCTGCGCGTTAGCCTCGTCGATCTGGTAGAATACACTCGAGTACAGCAAACCCATCAAGATGATCATGGCCGAGCGACCTACGAGAAACGCTCTGTCGCGCGTGGTGAGCGTGATTTGTCGCTGCACTACAGTGATAGTGCTGTTCCAGAAGTTTTGGTGGAATTCGGGGATCGGGTCCATGTGCTTGACCTTGTCTTTAATAAGGCTTGGATGGACCGGGTCGCGGAGATCTTCCATCATGCGCCCGTTGATTGTGGAGCGTGCGAACAGGTCGGCGTACTGACTGGCCGAGCGTGGAATGCTGCTGGATCGTATTGAGTTAACCTCATACTGCGCCTGCTTGTCGGTACCCAAGTCCAGCAGGAAGTCAGCCACGTCACGGTGCGGAGGACACTTGAAGCCCAGACCCTCGAAGTAACCTGACGCCTCAGCACGCGGACCATGGTACATTACGTAGCCCTCGTTCAGAATCACCACATTGTCGAACAGCTCGAACACCTCAGGCGACGGCTGCAACAACGATATCACTACAGTCTTACGGAACTTCTTGGCGAGACTGCGTTGCGTGGCGATTATGTCGAAGGTGGCAGCACTGTCGAGACCCGTGCTGATCTCGTCCATCATCATGACGTACTTGTTGCCGAACTCCATCTCGCCTGTGGTCACGCGCTTACGCTCTCCTCCAGACACACCGCGGGTCATGGCATCGCCGACGATGGTGCTTTCACAGTTGTCGAGTCCGAGTTGCTGGATGACGATGTCTGGGTGGTGCTTGGACATGGATCTAGCAGCATCTAGTGCATCCTTGTTCTCCTCGGGTGTACCGTTAACAAAATGTTGAGCGTCACGCTCCGAGAAGCCTCCACCACAACAGGCGTGCGCGAACTCAAGCGTCTCCTTGACCGTCAATGAAGGATAGTGCTTGTCTCGCTGAGTGACGTAGGAGACGAACTGTGGCAGACGCCGAAGCAACTCGTTGACCGGCGTGCCGTTGTACGTGACCTCGCCCTCAATTGTGATATTCTTGTGGTCTGGGAACCTGCCGCTTAGTAGCTTCATGAGCGAGGACTTGCCAGATCCGGGTTGACCCAGCACGAGATTGATGGTGCCTGGCTTGAAGATTCCGCTGACGTTCTTGAGGATCTGCTTCTTGATGGTGTGCTTCTTGGCGCACAAACCCCGGACGCTCTTCAAGAGTTCGTTGCTGAGCGTGGGTAGCTCGACCTTAATGTCGGTCTCGTCCTTGACGACGACATCAACAGAGATGGAGACGTTCTTGAAACGCACCTCCATCTGTGGTAGTGTTCCGCCTAGTGCCTTCTCCATGCGGTAGGCGACGTGGTCGTGGAGTGCTTGTGATCCCTGTGCCATTAGCGTCTTGCCACTGTCATACTCGATGGAGGCGCACATCGGCTGACATGCGTCTGCTGGAGTTTTCGCTACCATGGTAGCGTTCAGTAGCAACTCAGTGTTGTTACTGAGGATATTGGACTGAAGGCGCAAATTCAAAAGTGAGTTGTGTGAAAGGGACGGTGACGCACGTTAAACGATAACCATTTCCCTCTCGCTAGTTGAGCGTATCCAACCCGTAATAATCCATTGATTGTGCGGGAATGTTGTAGTTTATTTTGTTTTCAGCGAAATGTGTAACACCCGTCTCCGCTGAAAGGTTTCCAGCATCGTTCGCTGTGGAGCATTTTTTAATCGGATTATCTCCCCGCCAACGAAAGCATAATCGTCGCTCGAGGTAAGATTTCATCCACAACGAACGATGCAAGAAGCTGCTCAACGGATGCACCCCTTCTATGCATCATCAGTACAGTACTGTAAAATGTAATATATTACGTTATCATGCCATTGGATTTACAAGAGACTCCAGTGGCAGTTAATTGCTGAGTACCATCGAAACGTACATGCGGTGGTGTTTAAATCAATATCCGAGTCCAGCTTTTATGTGGCGACTCATTCTGACGCCAAACTGCTCTGGCTTCTCATATTCATCGCTCAAACTAACGTCGTGCCCTCAGATATCGCGTTTTCTTTAAAAGTTAGCAATAGAGCGGAGATTATTCTAGTAGTGCTTCGGTACGAAGTAAACGTACAGCCCAACTGGAATTAATTCATGTCCGTGTGTTGTGTTTTACACACAGTTTCATTCAATACAAATATCAAGTGAATCCATTTGTATTTTGTCACATTCGCATGGATTTTTACGAGGTATCGAGCGGCGGAGGGAAAACCATACATGGCCGCATTGACTAAAAAAGAAAATTAATTTCTGGGTTCTGTCTATGACGAGCTGATACTGTAATTTTGCACATGTCATTCTTGAAAAATGAGCGACACCCATTTTGATAAGAATTGGTCGCTAAAACTAGGTGATTAGTTGGTGCAGTAGGGCTCTTCGCTCCAACTAATCACCTGTTACATAGGTTTACTTAAGTCCTCGCTTAGAGTAGTTTTGCGATTACTATAGGCACTAACAGTTAACATTACTAACACAGACAATCCAAAGCGAGTTAGTAAGATCAAACCTTTCAGAGATCGGACGTTATAAAACATTGTATCATCGGCCAAGTGTGCCACCCACATGTCGGCTGTGGAATTCCAAAGCACTTAGCGATGTGCTCTACGACGACAATGCAAAGCCAGCTAGCTATCAGTCTATCGCTAGAGTTCGCGGAATCAGCTCCCCATTCCTCAATTTACCAACAACCAGTACTTGTCAAGGCTTCGTAACCAAGATGCAGATTCGCTACGCCATTGCATGGGCAATGGTAGCCATTCAGTCCACCGACGCCTCTAATTCTACCTCGAAAGGTGACCTGAATGGTTGGTACCCCTGCTCAGAGTACACTTTCTCGGACGAAGGTAGTTCTACCGGTCAAGTCGCGCAGTGTGCCGTGTACAGTGCACCGTTGTGCTATCCTGGAATCTGTGAAACCCCTCCGGGAGTAAACTCGGAAGTCGACGTCTTTGTTAAGCGTTTACCTGCCACGGCAGCCGATCCCGCCACTACAACCAATGTATGGCTGCTTCAAGGAGGCCCCGGTGCATCGTCCACTGACTGTAGTGTTACTTGCTTTTGTCTGCAATAGTTGAAGCGTTGTTGATATTGTTATGTGTCGATCTTGTTGGCTGTAGTGGAGATCTCGATGGCGACCCTGCACTCGGAGCTGGAAGGCACAGTAAACGTGTACACGATGGATCATCGTGGCACGGGGCGTAGCACCAAGCCCGATTGTGTCGCGGCGCAGGTTACAACCACTGGGTCTCCTTGGGGTGATGAGATTGACCCGTCCGAAGTGCCTGCTTACGCCTAAGATTTACAAATCAAATACGGCGACCTTGCATCTTTCTCCGTGACGACGGCTGCAACGGACCTTGCGACTTTCATTTCCAGATTCACGAATGGAGCTGGCACCATTGTATATGGCGTGAGTTACGGCACAATGTTCGCTGAAAGGCTCATGCATCTCGCTCCTCCTCAGGTGACTGGATATGTGCTGGATGGCATCGCTACAACTTCTGGAGCACCTGAGTTTTTCTATGCATCGAAATGGGACAACAACTTTGGTGAGGTGGGCGACGCTTTCTTGGCGCTAGGTGAGAGTGATAGCAACTGTAAGCCCCACTTCGATTCCAATGGCCTCAACAACACTCTTCAAGGTGTACTTGAGCAATTTGACCACGATCCGAACTCAACATGTGCTGCGTTGGTCAACAGCACGGTAGAAACCGGTGAGTCGCCGTCAGCCAATCTACGGATTGCACTCGGTAACGCATTGACGAACTTATACGCTCGGACTCTTATCCCCCCGGTTGTTTATCGCCTTGGACGTTGCGCTCCTGAAGACATGGATGTGTTGACATAATTCTTCACGACCGTCAGCGCAACTGTGAAGGCTAAAACACAAGACAGCGCGTACGAGTCGACCCTTCTCTATAGCCTCATCGTGTTCTCTGAACTGACGGAGTCACCGGTGCCGTCCATGTCAGAGATGAAAGATCGCTTTACGAGCGTGAAAATGAGCACTGCGTTTTACTCTCTGGGTCCTCAATACTGTGCCTTCTCGAAAGACGCATCACTGTCGTGCAAAGAACTCAATGTGGGCACATACGAATCCAATGGCATCGTGTACAAGCGTGATCAATACTAACCTGCTAAAGTCTTGCTACGACTAGAGAGCACAGAAGCGATGAAGCCAAAATCAAGACAACAACATCAAATTGAAAACAAGTCGACAACGTACGAAACTCACTACACTCAAGCTCTTGAAAACTTCTTCGCGAACCAATGGGGAAAACTCAAGCTGGTGGCACTAGACCCACTCAAGCACTTAGCAAAGTCGCAGACGGCGATCCAGTACAATTTCAGCTCTGACCACGCTTCATTGACTAGCCCAATGCGGAGTTGCTTCTCAATACAACAGGCACCAACCTCCCTGCAAGTGACAACTCAAAACGAAAGACGAAGTCCATAATGGACCGTTTAAATGCATGTCAAAACAGGCTTCTATAGGGTAAATAAAATCACAAATAGAAGGCCAAATTTCTCTCACAAGCGTGATTAATACTGGAACAAGACAGCTACGATTCCAAACCAAGCAAGTGTGTTGCTGCTGAGTGGTAAGCTGGACCCTCAGACACCCAACAAATACGCTGAGTACTTACTGAATGCACTTCGGGGCGAGAAGAAGGAATTGATAGCCTTCGAATACGCAACACACGGCACTGTCATGACGACTCCGATGGTTGCGGATAATCCGTGGAGTGAAACTTGCGGAATGAAGGTGCTGGCATCGTATGTGCGCGTTGGTGGGGATCTCGAACGCTTGGATAAATCGTGTGTGGCCGAAATGCCAGCGTTCAACCTGACCACGCCAGATTACTATCTGTATAGTTACTTTGGCACAGATGTCGCCGACGATGGTGTGTTTAATTCAACCTTGGTACACCTGGGTGGCAGGCTACTAGTATGTAGCCTCCAATGCTTTGCTATCTCTCGTGGGCTTTTGCAACGTTGTTGACAATAAAGCGAAAACAATGCTCGTATCTGACATTGGCTATTGCTCAAGAAACGTTAATATGGGGGTAGTAGTAAAAGGAAATTGGGCTGCCGTCCTTGCACGGTGCCCGATACAACATAGTTCTCTGTCTGCTCTCTCGCTCTAGGTCTCTACATGTGGAAATCAAGGTGACAGGAGCAGGAAGCTCGGCTCTGTCGTCAGCCAAACCCACTCAAGTGTCACTTTTGTCGTCATCGATTCATTCGCAGCTCTGTTGCTCCGCCTCAGTCCAGGAGGAGTACCAACGTCTGCGCTTTCTGCTCCAAAACACGTACACGCACTTGCACGCATATCACGAACACAATGAACCGTCCAGGACGCCTACGACGCGCTGATCCCCTCCCTACAACGCCACAGAAAGTTAGCAGATAATACTATAATTCACAGCATTCAAATCAAATCGTTGCGTACTTTTTAAAGGCTTGGGCGATGCGATGCGAGTCGAAGGTGCAGTGGATGCTCACGATGCTGCCGCCGCTCACGCTAACGATATCGCACGACTCCTCCGTCACGATCTCGCTGTTGCGCAGGATCCGGAACGTCGTCGACGTCATCACCACTGCCGTCTCCTCGTCCTCATCCACCAGGATACGCAGCACGCGGCCGCTACTGCGCTCCACCGTCTCGTCGCGAATCTTCCAGTAGTCACACAGTCGCTTGTAGCCGTGGAATTCGCCCCAGTACGGTACACAATCTGGTAAATTCGAGCTCAACACGCAGCCGTCCGACACGGGGTCGATCTTCTCTTCCATCCAAAAAGACGCCGGCGCGTCCAACGGCGACGAGAATTTCAGGTTCGGACCGAACAAATTGCGGTAGAATTCCACCACCAACTCCCTCATCTCCTCCTTGTTGCACTTCAACGAGCTGATCGAGCTCGTAGTCGCTGACAGCCGCTGCTTTGGTGCATCGTCAGGGACCAACGACAGTCGCTGCTTGGGCAGTGGAGGCGACGGGTTGGCATTCGACACGCAGACCAAGATCTCAGTCAGCCAAGTGAGTCGCGTGTCGATAGAGTCCACCAATACCATGAACGCTCCGTGTCCTTGTGTGTTGATCTGGAAGCCAAACACATTGTGCTGACCGTGGACGTGCATGGGGAGACCCTCGGACACCGTAAGCGGACGTGCCGTTCCTCGGACGAACGTGCGGTCCTTGGCATGAGCCTCACTAATGTAGTAGCTCAAGGAACCGTCCGAGCGATTGAGTACGAAGTAGTATCGCTCCCACGCGTTCTTGTGGCCGGTCTCGGGGTATTTGTTCTTGTACATGTAGCCTGCTGTGATGACGTTCATAGACTCGGAAGACTTAGAGGAAGCTGCGGGGACATCAGTGACTATCACTCCAGCGTCGCGGTTCACGAATGTAGTGACGTCTTCACCGCGAGATGTGTCCACAACGAACACATCGGTCTGGCGAGGGGCCACATTAGGGGAAGCGTAGGCCTCGTTACTCAGCGCCAAGACCTTCTTGTCTACTTTTTCATTGTGCGTTGTCACCAGCGACTTCCGTAGACGCTTGAACACGCTATTCCAACCGAACGAGTTGCGCTGATTACTGTCTCCGTTAGACTGCGACGAGCCCGAGTCTTGAGCTGGTGGAGCAACTGGTGGCTTAATAACTGAACCCAGACGCATCGGGGATTTGAATACAGGAGACTGGAGAACATTCTTGAAGTAGTTGGACTTGCGAGACCCATCGCCTTCGCTGTTCCTGTTTGTCTCGGTCTTTTCCTGCGGTGAGTTCTTTGGAGAATCCTCCTTGGACGTAGGCGACGGTGAAGCTTCCTTTGTGTTGGTGTCAGTGACGATAGCAGGCGGAGTTGTCTGAGCCTCCTCCACTTGAGAGTCCTCGCCCTTCTCAGCGTCTGTCGTCTCAGGTGATTCGGACTCAGACGGGGCTTCCTTCTCACTAACAGAGTTTCTTGTACCTGGCTCTGTGGCTTCTGGTTCTTCAGCTGAGGCTTCCGGCTCCTCCTGCAGCAAAGTCGGAGCTTCCTCTTCGACAGCAGGCTCCACAGCCGAGCCACGCTCGCTCCTTGTAGCCTGTTCACCCACCGAACTCCTCCGTTCGTCCGAGCAACGCGAAGTCTCCGATCCGCTACTGAATCGCGTCTTCTCCGACAGCTTCGCCCACGCAGGATTGCGCTTGCAATGGAACACAACCTGTGCGTTGTTCTGAGACGGCGCCTTGCTCGTGAATACCTCGTCGATCACGTCGTGTAGTATAGCCGCGTAGATGTCCAGCGACTGGATGTCCACCTTGGCTCGTAGCAGCAGACTGATGATGTTCTCTGGCACTTTAATGTCCACACCGAAGAGATCTTTAGTCAGCGGACAGTTCTTCGCTCTCGAGGCATCTGCATCACGCAGGATGAACGAGATCGCCGGCACCACGTGGATAATGAGCATGTCGAACGACGATCTCTTCTCCAGAATCGACAGATACGCCTGGATAAGGCCACCATTGTGCAGCTCCTCGTCCAAACTGGGGTCATTGAGCAACACCAGGTTGTTCAGATATTTAGCCAATGAGATCTCCACAGACGAAGGCAGTCCCTTGTTCAGTTGCGACACGAAAGAGCCGCTGGTTTTCCGAGCCACATCAAGCACATGAGTCCAGAGCGCATGGCCACGAGGTAGAGACGTCAAGTTGTACATGGACGTCTCGTTACTGCCGTCATGTGGCGAGTTCGGGTAGTGCTCGGCCTGGAAACTGGAATATCCGAACATCTGCGTGTTCTGCGCCTCCGTTTCGGGTGTCTGGTTGTCTTCGTCGCTCTCCGCGCTCTCGTTCAGCAGCTTCTGACACAAAACTAACAGCTCAGCAGCCACGTGGATGTTCAGAGCACTCGAGACTTCCGTCAGCTGCTTGTCGCGGATAATTGCGAGCTCATCCGACGCGTTCTTGAAGATTTCTTCGACTATAACCGGCTGTTTGGACATCTCCTCCAACAACATGTACTGTAAGAAGTTGTGGTAGCCATGAGTCATCGACTCAAAGCCTCGAATTGTGCCGAACTGGTCGCGAACAAAGTACTTGGACAAGTATACACCTCCTTCGCGTCGACTGAAGGCTCCTAAACGGTCTGCTTGATTGGCTTGGAGCATATCGACCAGTAGATTGGTGGTATTCTCTACTAGAGGGAGGTTCTCCGGCTTAGAGGGATCTACCCGCGTGGCCTCGGCCAGCAGCCTCGCAGCGATCTCCATAGCGTCATTGCGTCCTGTGATGGGATGGACGCTCTCGTAGCTCTGCAGTATAAGCGTCAGCATGTACTTGATCGTGTTCGAGTACAAGTGAGGGATGACCATGGGCAGGAACCGCTTAAGTACGTTGTTAACGTAGCCCTCCTCCAAGCAGAAGCCGTCATGGAGACGTACAAGAGCCTTACTGAAGAACAGCAGCTGCATTTCATCCAATGGGATGGGGTTCTTGAAGATCGAGTACAATTGCTCCCACTTGTCGATGTCCTCAGGTTCCTGGCATCCAAACACCGCGGTGGACGCTGTAGAGCCCGAACTGGAGTCCGAAGAGAAGGATTCGTACAGATCCTCCTCTCCAGTGTACAGTTTCATGATGATTTCCGAGCATAAGAAGTGTTTCTTGTAGTAGCCGTACTCTTCATGAGGCTCCCCACTAAGTACGGGTGGAGTGACAAACTCTGCGAGTACTTCCTTCACTGTCTCGGGCTGCATGAGCCACAGTCGGATGTCGGAGTCGGTATCCTCTAGAATCTCCAGCACAGGGTCGATCTGCATGTCCAGGAAGGCGGGAAGCGTCATTTTCTTCTGATTTAGAGACCCAGAGAAGAGCTGGTCCTCTGGATACGATGGTAACGAGCGTCGACGGTACGTGTCAGCGTCATCCAGGAACTTGGACAGACTGCCAGTGCGTCCGCCACGGTTCGTGATGACTTCCATCTCGTTCACCGAGAAACTCATCGTTTGAGGCACTGCAGGCTTGACGGCGTCCTCATCTAACAAGTCTACGCCGTCCTCCATGGCCTCGTGGAACTCGTCGTCCTCGTCGTCGTCGTCGTAGGCTGCCAAGTCCATCAAAACCTCCGTATCGGCAGCCATACTGTCGATATTTTCGTTCGCGTCGTCGCTCTCTGTCGTCGACTCGACAGGCTCCACGCTCTCCGCTGTTGTGTCTATCTCTGACGTTTCTTGCGCTTCCTGCTCGGCCTCATTGTTCTCTTTCTCCTTGCTCGCGGCGGTTTGCTGCTTGCTCTTAGGCACAAGCTCCTCGAGCGTCACAGGTTCGCCTACGATCTCGGGCGCGTCTTCGGGACCTGCAGGCGTCTTACACGAGCGACTAGCGACGTCGCTGGGCACTGTGGCCGCCTCCATGTCGCTGCTTGGGGTCGCCGTGGTGTTAGCTGGGCGGGGGGACGACTCTCTCGCCCCGGTGGAGGTCTCTGCGACGCTAACTGTTAGCAACTCACGTGTCCGGTCTGGCCGACGCAGGCTATGCCGTGTAGGGAGAGGGGGGAGCCATTTCTATTGGCAGAAAAAAGAGCCAGCCACGCGCAATGAGGTAATAGTGACATTGGCGGTTTAAGGAGGTATGGGTGAATAATGTTCTTATTATGTGGTAGAAGAGAGGCTAAAAGGGATAAGAATACCTGCCGTTACGGACTCGTGCTGACTTTCCTCTCTGAATGCTGCACGATGATTGGCTGCCAAAGAGCCACTCTTCGGAAATGGCTGCATAGACGGTTGCAATGACCGATTAAGTACGAAAATATGAAACGGCGTTGTGGTAACTTCGACTTGAACTGTGCAGCAACATGGTGCGAACGATACCTGTGCATTGAATACTCTAGCGCTAGTAGAGCGTTGAATATTATCTCGTTTTCGAGAGATATGACGTGGCAGGATGAGTACGAAGCATTTCGGACGGGCTGACCGGTTTTCTGCACTCTAGACGGAGGCGATCGTGTGGAAGCACGCGAGCGAGCGAGAGCTGGCGCAATTGGCTACGCGGCACTCGGTGGACGACTGTAAAAGGTGCAAAGATGTTTTGCAATGAACATGTGACGGAGTTGACTGACGCGGTATTTGTTGCTGAACGTTGCTGACATGTTAGCGCACTGGCGGAGATCTTCGAATTGGATCTTTCGGACGAGAAACAGAGGTTTTTGCTCGACTTCCACCTGCACAACTACTCATATCCTTTAGAAAGCGTTGCAATGAGTTGCGTATAATTCTAGATTTGATCCAGGGACGTGGCTAGTTCGCCTTAACGACTGGAGGCGTATACGTTCTGCAGGCAAAGACACTTCGAACTCAACCAAACGTCAGTGTTTCTCGGGATCTGCCAGACGCTCATGAAGCGTGACTTCGCGAGTGACAGCACGACCGACCTCAAGAGTAGCTTTGAGTTTTTCCAGGCTATGCTGCTCACGCACAGCGTCAATCGTTCACCTAAGAGGTAAGAAACGGCGATATGTGCTATGGCTATGGCACAAAGCTAACGAAATGTCGGCATGTTGGCAGTGTGGGGATTTTCAGCCGCGAGGAAGTCGCAACTATCGTGGACTACGTCGCGAACTCGTACTACCGACATTTTCAGCTCTACAAGTGCATCTACACCCCGTATTACCACTTACACTTCGTCCAGCGCGAGATCAACGACGTCCAGACGCCCAAAGCTCTTCGTCCGCTCAGCCAGGGATTCCTGCTCACAGCTAAACCGATGCCTTCTGATGAAAGCGTCAAAGAAAACGACGCAGAACCTCCCAGAGAAACTTCAGAGTCACCAGCAGACGAATAACCAGCATGCATGCAAATCTATATAGTCTTCCTCTTGATTTTCACCTCATTGCCTCCCACTCACGGCGTCAAAGAATGGGAATTACGCAAACAAATGCTTGTATTTGGACTGTGAGAGTTGCACGAACTGGTCGTACACGTCCAAGTCGAAGTTGTCACCGAAGAGCGTCGTCTTGAACTCCTGGATGGTCTCGCTATCCACAACGCGACCTATCACCTCCACCACTTTGCTGCCATAGTCGGTGCCCGGCTGCGTCGTCACATTCACGATCTCACCGTCCTAACACAAAGCAGATTTAGGTGCAATTAGAGATATCGTTTATGAGCTCCGGCAACGAAAACTGATGCCTTACAGAAGTGCGCAGTACGACGGCTGTGGGCGAGTGGCTCTCCACAGCACCAACAAGTGCGACTGTGTGACCCACGTAGGCGCCCATGGTCTTCTTGTTGACGCGCGGGGACGTCGCATTACCAGTCGGAGCTCCACCAAAGTCCATCGTATCACTTCCTTTATTACAGTTTAGTTCGTGTTGTGGCGCCAAAAATGGAGTTGGCGCCGTACAATTGTTTTTACCAATCAGAGCAGATTACGACCAATTCAAATAATTTTAATTTATATTTAAAAAAATATGTTTTACATTATTAAAATACTGTACAAAATATGTGATGAAGTCGTAAAGTCCCAAGTTCTACATGAGACAAAATGCCAGGACATGATTGTAGGTTGCAACTTGCGACGGCGCATCATTTAATATTGGTACGTCTTTTTCCCCTGGTGGCGTTCACAGGTCCTCTAATGTGACGGGGTCACACAGCACCTTGTGCAGAGGAAGTTTATTTCCTCTAGAGTATACAAACTCTAAGTGAACGACCGTTCAC